CGGGCCTCTCGCTGTTGCGGCCTCTCCCGTTGCGGAGCACAGGCTCTGGACGCGCGGGCTCAGCGGCCATGGCTCACGGGCCCAGCCGCTCCGCCGCATGTGGGATCTTCCGGGACCGGGGCACGGACCCGCGTCCCCTGCATCGGCAGGCAGACTCTCAACCACTGCGCCACCAGGGAAGCCCGGGAACTATTTTCTATTTCCATTTTACAAGAGGGAAACAGAGGCTCAGAGAGGTTAACCCCAGGGACTTGGCTGAATCACTCAGCCAGGAGATTGGATCCTGGTTTCTTCAGTGACTGCTAGGTCCTTTGGCTAACAGATTCCTTCCCAAGGAGGTCGGAGCAGAAAGTGGTGGGGAGAGAAGGCACAGGGGAGGGAATGCGCTCTGGTGCCTGCCGTGGTCCTCAGGTCCATTCTTTAATTCATCTGATGGGTGTCTCTGCCTTGAGTCTGGGCTGGCTTCACTATTGTTTTTACGGAGTATGAAAACCCTGCTCTTTGTTCAATGGATGGGAAGGGTGATGGGGCTGCCCCAGGTGTGCTCTGTTAGGCTGTCGTGAGTGGCTTTGCTCTTCCTGGCCTTTGTGTGTTTCCCTCAGCGGTCGGTGGACCCGTGGCACCTCCCCAGGCTGGTGGCCAGGCTTCTGGGTTCCCTGGAACAGCAGTGGCAGAATCTGGAGAATTCACAAGTTTTTCTTTTGAGTTTATTAGGAGCTGGGAAAAGCAACCTGGAGATCAAAAGTGGTAGGACTAGACAAAACCCAGACTCCTCGGCCCCTCCAAGCCCCGGGAGATCTGTTCCCTGCTCCCCTTCTGGCCTCCTGTCCCAGGTTCCCACCGTATCGTGCAATCAGACTGCATGGGCATTCTTCACTGCAGCCCAGCATATGCTGTTCCCTCCACCTGGGACACTCACCCCTGGCCCATCATCGTATCTCTCAGCTAGTTCATACCCCCTTGGCGCTCATCCTTGATGTCACTTCGTACAAAGAACTCTCCCTGAAACCCCAGGACTGGGTCGGTGTTTTAAAATGTAGGTTTTATTATAATTCAGGTAGGATGAGGCCAACAGATGAGGAGACAATTGCCATGGAAAACATAGTTTGTTACTCACAGTTCCCAAGGGGAGGGGAGCAGGGCCACATGGGGAAGCACTCCGTAGGGTCCAGCAGGAGCCAGAGGGAGAAGGAAGAAAATGTGGGCAAGAACCTTTGTTGTGGTTCCCGAGGGAAGGAACAGGTGAGACAGGGTGAGCAGGCTTGGGATGGGCTAGTTTGAATCGTTTCAGCTGACTCTGGGCATAGGGGCTTTCTGTAGCTGTCTGGTACCTGGGATGGTTAGGGCAGGGGGACAGTGGCCCTGAATGTCACAGGTGCTTGGGATATGGGCTCTGGATTGGCCAGTTTGCATATGAAGGGCTCACCTGGAGACAAGTCCTTTACTCTCTGTAGGAATTGTCCAGTCCTGGGAGAGACAGTCCCTCTAGGGTCAGCAAGGCCCCAAGATGTCAAAGCATGAGAATAAGAGACAGGCTTCATACAGTCAGTTGCCCTGCCTATGAGTTCCTGCAACTCACTGACCCATCACCCTGTACGCTGTGAGCCTCACAGGGGCAGAGTTTAAACTGCCAAAAGTGAGGTGCTTGGTCACAAAAGATGATTTTTAAGAGCAGCTCATAAATGACTTTAAAAAAATAGTTATATAGTTAATTTTAATGTATATTAGAAATCAACCGGTATACCAAATATGTTATTTCATCCATAAAATAAATTTACTTTAAAAACATTGTAACAAAAAATTGTAAGTAAAATAGTAAGCCCGTTCTTAAAGAAAAATTTTGCGTAAACAATGTTGCAGGCCGTGTGAGGTCACGGAATTGCAGGGGTGGTCTCATCTGTCGGCTTGCCGCCACTGCACCCC